AAATTCCTTCCCGAAAGATACCCAAGATCATCTGGACAACTATGGTAAGAGTTCCGTGTTACATTATAGAAGTGCTCTAGCATGTCAGCCCTATCGATCCTAAGCTGCACTGTGTGTCTACAATTTAACTGAAGACATAAAGACACTTTGCATCATTTTCGTTTTCGATGCGCCGATTTTCAAGCTATCATCTTGAAATCACTGTTCGTCAAGTTTGCAAAATAGGATACCAAGATGGACCATGAAGACTCGGTTATGTCTTTTTTGATCGGTATATAACACGGGGCGGAAAAAAGCATTAAGTCTATCGAACATTTTGCGAATCTTTCATTAATAACTTCTTCCTAGCCCCCACCAATTCCATCATCTACAACGTTTAAAACAAAGTATTCAGCTCGGCGCTATCGAATGCTTTTTTTGATAACGAGAGGGAGTTGGCACCTCGAAGAAAAACAATACTAAGAGAAAACTACGAAAGATGATTTGCAAAACCACTTGCTGCATACGATAAACTTGACTTCACCAATACTCACTGCTTCTCTTTTATGCCGAACAAAATTGTTTTATTATCTTCTCAAATTAGGAATTGTTCAACGTTTCTCTGTTATTTACACGCACAAGGTACTGCATGATGTTCAATCGATTTTTAGAGCAAATTCAACACCCAACAGTGGTCGACAATTGCAGTTGCTCCAGGCCGTCCCGCCACGGAATCCTCTGACTGTTTTTCTTTTATTTCGTGCTGCTCCGCAAGCCACTTCTTCCGTTGTACAGTTTGGCTTCACCCCTTTTTTTAACCTTTACTGCATTTCACGGGCTCATTAGGCTGAAAGTGGTCCTGAAAAGCAATACTTACACTTTTCCCATAGCAAAATTCGTATTTCCACCAGCCGGTACCACCGCCGTACAAACAGTGTCTTCCACTTAACAGATATCTGTTTTCTTCAAGTAGCGTATCTCTATCAATAGCTGGCTTTTCTGGGGTTGTTGCTGGAAAAACATTGCTTCAGGGCTCTGTAGCAAAATAAAATTCTGGCTATTCCGCCTCACAATTAATTGAATCTTTAAAAACTAACTCTTTTGCACGGAAGATTTTGGTGACGAAGATTTCTTTGATAGAATAACTCTTACGTCGAGATCATCGTCCTCATCGTCTTCGTCGTCATCGTCCTCTTCGGCGGGATCAGCATTTGCTGGATGCTGTACAGGTGGGAAGGCGGACATATACTCCTGAAAATGAAGAATGCTGACTCGCAAAAAGAAACGTGAGATCGATCTGTTGGAAAATAATTCTTCACCGTAATATGGGTATCTATTACTGTGAAGAATTATTTTCCAAAAATTAACGTGGAAATACATTTTAGACTTCGACAAAAATATAAATTTCCTCTCCTTTCGCGATGATGCTTCGCCGAACAACCACACTAGCCACTGAACGTCCATTGAGGTTCTATTTTTGTATTACAACGTTTTTTATCTCTCCTAACAACTCTAAATTTATAATTAATAAACTCTATTCTTTCTCTTCTTCCTCTTCCTTTTTCCCTCTTTCTTCTTTCACCTTTTCCCCTTCTCTCTTACATTCCTTCCTTTTCCTGCTCTTCCCTGAACACCACGACCGTCATACTGACGAGGCCCGGTCGTGGTGTTGAGCTAAGATGTATATGACTTCATGGACCGAAACGTCTTAATTGTTTTTTCCTACTATTTTTCCTCTGCTTATATACCTTCCTTACTTTGGTACCCTAAATCAACTTGGATGCTACAATCGGCTTGATCCCTCTCCCTTTTATTTCCTCTCTATTTCTCAAGCGAATTCTTAAAAAAAAAAGCTAGCGACTAATAACTGCTGTAGGTGAAAGGCTATTTTTTGGGTTAAATCGGTGTGCCTCTGTCTTCCATGAAAGGCGAGATGAACGACGTGCTTGAGAAATCATCGACAGCTCGGTCAGCGTTAGGTTATTACAGGCGTACGCCATGCCCAGGTTACCCCCAAGTGTCTCTACCTCAAATTTGGAGTTCAAATAAATTTGGTCGTCAAATAATGCAAAGTGAAGATTTGAAATTTTAGATCATGGCTTGTGCTGGGCAGCACTGACTCGCTCAAAAGCAGTTTCGCTTTCCTTCTCGAGCTGAACAAGCCGCTCCGGCTTCGCATATTCCTTGTGAGTGTCTTTCGAATAACAAACAATTTCATTGTCAGTATCTGGCAGCGGCTGAAACGACGGATGTGAGCACAACCGTTTCGTCAATACAATCATTTCATAGGTGCATGAGGCTGTCTCGGTAAACGAATAGATCTGATCCTTGGCATCCTGAAATAGCTAGGAGCACTATATCATCCTTTTCCGCAAAGTTTGTCTTTAAATGATATCACAAAAAAGCCACAAAACCAGTGCAAAATAAAACTTTGTAAATTGAGTTGGAGGAGTGAATTCAGTTAATCCTACCGAGCAAAATAGAGGAGGGGCTTGAGACTGCGCTTTAAGAATGCAAAAACTTTATGCAGACACACACTGCAACATTGATTACTACAAAAAATGTTATCAAAGGCAAAAAGATTACTTTTCCTAAAAAAAACCAATGATATCAAGAGCAGTCGGAAAGTTCCCGCGGAGGATCTCACTTTAGTAATACAACTGAAATATATCCACAGGCAATGCGTAGTTATACGATGTCTTTTGGCCCCAACCTGCATGCTTTCATTTAAAACCCACTGCCTACTAAATGTATTTTCGGCAAATAGTTGATTAAAAACAGCTAAATTGGATACTTTTCCCCAATTCTGCTGCCTGCAGAGGATGAAAAACTATAAAATGATATATATTCGTTGCATGAAGAGTTATAAAATAAAAAAAAAAAAACAAAAACTGTTAAAGAAGAACCTGGTTGCATCCATATAACACAGTGGTCTTCCGTGGTTTGCCAGTTAGATCACAGACCGTTCCTTGCCTGTAATTAACTGGATAATACGGCTGCTCTTTGTTGTCGATTTTGCGTTTCGGTGGATTCAGTTCATCAAAATTCTTATCGTCCTGTAAAACAGTACAAACAGACACGGACTAATATCTAAAATAAACCAGATGTCAGAGCGAATAATTTTTCAAACAAAAAAACTAGTGGAAAAAGAGCATGTTACTATGATCAGTGGGTAATCAGAATTAGTATTCATGACAATTTATCAGTAATTAACCCAGAATCATTATCAAAAAAACGAATTTCTGAATAGGTTGCAGCTTCCAGGTCAATCCCGGAAGTGCAGACGGTGGGGTGCGCAAAAGCAAGAAAGGATAATGAGGGTTGGGAGTAACAGTGAGCTAAGACGTTTCGGTCCAGTAACTCCACACTGCGACTGGACCTCGTCAGTATAACGGTCGCAGTGCGTAAGGAAGAAGGAAGAAGAAGAGGAAGAAGGGAAGAGAGTAAGGAAAGACGGTTAAGCAGAAAGAAGAGGAAAAGGAAAAGGGAAGATGGGAAATGATGGGAAGGAGGGAGGGAGAGGTGGGAGGAGATGCTGAACACAACCTGTGACATATAATACCGGATTTCAAATTAAAAAGCCTTGGGAACCAGTAGGATGCAGAAGAGAAAGTTTTATACACTACTTACCAGTAACAAACTTCGGACTCATACTCTCCAGAAAGAACCTTTTTATTAGGTACTTGCCCACTTTCAAAAGCTATGCTGAAAGGAGAAGCTTCTTTATTTGCTGAGCAAATTTGTTCAGAATCTATAATTCGCAATGGCAATGCACAGGACAAAGACTAACAACATTGTCGCGGTTATTACAGGGGCTAAACTTACAGGTTACTATCGTGAGAAAGCAGTTATGCTGTGGTCATCGCAGAGGTAACGCTTAAAGGCTGTTATGACTATCAAAATGGAAAATTTAACAAACCGTTATGGATATGGCACAACAAAAAACCTTACAGACCACACAGTTGTCGAGGGAGAGAAATTTAAAAATTATTACAAATAGCGTAGGATGCAAGCTTGGATCACCTCAAAAAATGCGTTCATTTCATTAATTCTTGTTTTTAACTTCATTTCTAAATCACAATTTAACACAACGGGAAAGGGTGCAATAAGGGTTAGTTTTTTCAGGACCTTGGCTGACAACATCTACGAAATCGCCACGTTTGATTTTTGCAAAGAAAATCTGGTGTATTAATGTCGTACCAATTTTGACTGTTCACGTTGATAATTGCCAAGATAATATTCACTTCTCGCTTTTCGTATTATTTCTCGATCATCGTGATACTGCAGGATGTATCGGCCGTGGCACAGCTCGTATGTCCAATAAACGTCCAACCAGTAGGAGCATACTCGATTGTCGTAGAGCGACTGGATGAGCTCCGCCGGCGACGGGCCCGAATATGACTCAACCTTCTTTCTCGTCTGCAACATGATCCGTATTTGAATCTACTGCTAATGCATGCTGTGAGGATCAAAAGAGGGGAAATATGAATACGCAGCAACAGGGGCATTATAAAAAGCGCCATTTTTTGAAGGAACCGTTTTCCAGGAATCAGACTCACCCATCTTTGTTCAACTTACACGCCTCATCTTGACATAAATACTGATGCAAGCTCTCATCAGTGTGTATTGCCGTGAAAAATGTGCCATTCAACGAGCAATCCGCTACGCCATGCTTCATATTTTGTTACTATTTAATGGTATTTGCTGAACCGAGCTGATTTTTAGGCAATCAAAGTGTGCTGCAGCAACCAGGCCTCCTAAAGATCGCCAAGGCCGGTGCATAATTATGAGTTTTTTCAGAAAAAGGAGAAGCTCGAGGGCGGAAATCGCCATTGATTCTGATATTTTCACCAACTGCTGATTTAAATTTAGAGCACTTTCTAGCCAGTTGATAGTGCCTTCATGTAACTACAGCATCGGGTACTTTTCATGCTGGTGATCCCCATTTTCTTTTTCATTTTCCCGCTTTCTTTTTCGTCTTTAGAGAAATTATGAATGTATTATGTTCCTTCCATCGCTTTTACTATTCGAGAACAACTACGTAGGAATCACTTCCTATGTTTTCCCTTCTTTAAAGTAATCACTCACACAGGGTAGAAGATGATGGATGAAGCGAGAACATTACAGAACTTTTCAAGGAGCTGTAGTCGCAAAAGGGGGAGCAAAAGTATCCGGTTTAATTTTGGGGAACACATTGTTCCCGATATGTTTAGCATGTTTAAAAGCAAACGCATTTTTTTGACTATGGGATACAGTGCACAACTGGGAGTGCACAACTTGAGTGCACAACTTGTGAGTGCATAACTTGTGAAGAAAGGGTTCAAGGAATGAAAGTATAACCTGACTGGGCATGGTGGGCATTGTACATAGATATTTCTCATCGTTGCCACTTGTGATATGCACATAGGGCTGATTGGAAAGCCAGTCATCTGGCACCTCAAGAAGATGCTTCGGCGTCGCTGACTTAAACCTCCAGTCGATCCTGAAAACTCACAATGCCAATAAGCCCTAGAACCTCTCGATTCATTAGTCACCCGTTGCTGGACCTCCGCCGATGTTTCGGTTCTAGTCAGCCTAACAAAGAAGTATTTTCAAAGAGCAGTCCAAAAAAGTAGTCAGCCTAACAAAGAAGTATTTTTCAGCAAAAATGCATTTTCAAATGAAAAGCCTGAGCCTGGACTGCACGAAAGCCCCAACAAACTGCTTGCAATAAATGAAATGAAAACTAAAAATACTTAAATGCACGACAAAATTTCCTATTTATCTGGACTTAAAAAATTCCCAAACCGACTGTCCCAGCGGTTTTGACAATCTGGGACATTAGCACAGGTATGTACCAGACTTATCCGCGCGATCATGCATTTTTGCGCAAATCGTGAAGCAGTCAGAGTGTTAAATGTACGAATCGTTGTTGCTTCACAGTCTAACATACGCGCTTTAAGCGGGAACGTTTTTGCCTTCCAGAAATATAAGTTGGGACGATGCTGTTGCATCACAAGGCCGTGTGAAATCTTAAACTCCAGCGTGCATGATTATCACAAATTTTGCGTGGGGGAGGGGAAGTGCATAATCCCTGATGACCGGTCGTTCACTGGAAATATAAGTTTCACAATAAACAGGATATCGAGAAAGATGACGAAATCACAGCTGGGAAGTTTCCTGTAGGATTTTAAGCAGGCATACGTGAAAAATAGGTGTACATACTTAGGGACTGAATTTGCAGTCTTCGAATCACAAGTTGACAACGAACATCCACCCATAATTCTAGCTTTTTAGCTTGCCTGGTTCCTGAGTTAGCAATTTTCACGCCAAAACTTTCATGTGTCTGCATATCAGACTAAGTTGTACGTGATATCACGTTCCTGGTGTAGCAATAGGTCATTTAATCTGCTCGCAAAGTTTCAACATCTAAGTTAGCCTGGTTGCCGAGTTGAAATACCGTGATAGACGTATGTACATGCACACACACGTACACACACACGCACACACGCACACATACATCACAGATCGTCGCAATACACGTTTTTGCATTTGCATATTTGCATATAAACGCATAAAAATGAATCAGTTCGCATATGCTAAGCATATGGGTGGGCTAGTGGCGCAATGCTCCTCCTTCACAAACTATATCCTAAAAGTTGAGGACAAAGAAAAGGTAACCTGTACAGGACTGAATCGTCGATTGTTTTGTACACAGCAACAGCAACGTAGAAACTCAAACTGAACTGCAGAAACAACAGGAACAGAACCATACTGAGCTGCTCCAGCAAAATCACCTCTGAAACAGGTCAAATTCAGCAGTTCACAGACCAAAACGTTCCGTAGAAAAACTTGACAACGTGATAGCGCTTTAAAGTGAAGGGGAGAAAGGACGAAAAAGCACGGAAGCAATGGCTGTTTTCATGTCTGTCACGTCTTGAGACTAAGCCAAGATGGATAAAACAGAGGAAAATGCAAGGAATCGAGAAAAAGGGAAAAAGCATCAGTGAAGAAGGTGGAAAAAGTCACACAAGCGTGGACATTCGGGAGTTCCAACGGCGCGAGCCGAGGCTCGGCGGGCTCGGCTTGGCTGCTCTTGTGCACATGTTTTTATGCATTTTTGGGTTTGGATTCAAACTGGGAAAATCCTGATGCCAGGTTATTTGTCTAGGCGAGGAGGTTTTAGGTGTGTTATTCAAGATTGCCGACTTCCACTCAACATTGAATTCTATAAAAAACCTATGTAGGCCCTTCCCAGATCGCTGTTACCAATCCCTACTCCTAAATAAAGTCTCAGCTCCTTCCCCATCAATACCTGACCTCTCCCCGTCCGTTACACCAACCCCCC